TTCACCGACCACCAAAACTTGACCTACTTTGACAGCAAAAAGGCGCTGAAGCCAAGACAAGCTCGATGGGCGGCCAACCTCGCGGAGTTTGACTTCAAGGTTGTTTACCGCCCTGGAAGACTAAACGACAAAGCAGACATCTTGTCACGGCATTGGGACCACGCCCTTGGAGAGGGGGTAAGGCTCATGAAGACCCTGAAATTCACCTGTTTAAGCCGGGACAACTCGTAATGGGTTCAGTCCAATACCCGATCATCATGATCAACTCAGCATGGGCAAAAGCAGCCCAAGTCTGCAAACTCACTCCGGTGCTTCTGGATGAAATCCGGGCTCATGCAGCCTCGGACGCAGAATACCTTTCCTTGAGAAAAGCTATTGAAGACACCTCCGGGAAGCTGGTGAACCGAGACCTGACAGTGAAGGACGGAGACGTCTTTTACAAAGAAAGGTGGTACATCCCAAATCATAGGGAACTTAAGCTCAAAATCCTGAGCTCCCTACAGGATTCGAAAATTGCTGGCCACTTTGGACAATTCAAAACCGCAGAACGCCTCCGGGCACTGTTCTATTGGCCAAAAATGGACAATGACGTGGAAGAATATGTGCGGAGTTGCGATACATGTCAACGCGATAAAGCTTCAAGACACAAGAAGTATGGGATGCTACAGCCTTTAGAGGTTCCTTACACGCCTTGGGGTTCCATTTCAATGGACTTTATCGTTAGCCTACCTGAATCTGAGGGCTACACCCGAATCTGGGTTATTGTTGACCGCTTCACTAAAATGTCCCACTTCATTCCGCTTAAGACCAAAGCAACTATCGAAGAGCTTGCGCATATCTTCCTTCGGGGAATATGGCGATTGCACGGACTACCCGAAGAGATTATCTCTGACCGGGACTCCAGATTCGAGAGCAAGTTCTGGGATTCACTGATGAAGCTCCTTGGGGTTAAACTCTGGCTGTCCACAGCATATCGTCCCCAAACTGACGGGCAAACTGAGAGGGTCAACCAGACGCTCGAACAGTACCTCAGAAACTACTGCTCTTACCAGCAGGACGATTGGGCAGGGCTACTCCCGCTTGCCGAATACGCCTATAACACGGCTACCCAAGAGTCAACCAAAGTCTCGCCGTTCTACGCGAACTACGGATTCCAACCAGACTCCACTTGGCCCTCGCCCAAGAGGAAGTTAGATAAAGTCGACGCCTCTAGCGCCATACTAGAATCTATGTGGAAGACTCTCTGGGAAGCAATGAGGGCTGATATTCACAAAGCACAAGCGCGGCAGAAGAAATGGTATGACCAGAAACCCATGAAGGCTCCGGAATTGAAAGCTGGGGATAAAGTGATGCTGGACAGACGCAACATCATAACCAAGCGACCCTCAAACAAGCTAGACCACAAGAAACTGGGTCCGTTTGAGGTAGTCGAAAAACTTGGCGTCGCGTCCTACAAGCTGAAGCTGCCCTCTCAAAGGAACATTCATGATGTCTTCTACATATCTCTGCTGGAGCCCTATCGGGAGCCGGAAGACCCTCAATGAGCTGTCACGCCCCAACCTCCGGATGAGGTCGAAGGAGAGGACAGTTACGTGCTCAAGGAAATAGCCGATAGCCGATGGCAACAGGCTGGACGTGGGAAGTTTGTGCAGTATCGGATCATCTGGGAGGGGTATCGTTCAGAAGACTCCTGGGAACCATACGAAATGCTGCAAGGAACTGCAGACGAGGCACTCCGAGAGTCCCATCTGAGGTATCCCCGAAAACCGCAGGACGTACGGGTGAAACTTTAAGAATCCTCAAACAAGGTGTGAGTAGCCCTGTAATCCCAACAAACTATGGGAACAAAAACTAACTCTCCTGTACCAGGTTTTCATCGGTCTGACAGTGGTCGGATACCGTTTTCCCTGGGAAGCAGTGCAGGAAACAACAGGAAATTGAGGCGTAAGGAACCCCCCAAGGAAAAAGGGAAGAAGGGATTCTTGCTAACATCAAAACCCCCACTACTAGGACGAAATGTTCTGGAAAAGGCATGGAGAAAATGGGTTTTCCCTTGTTGTTGTATGCGTTTCATTATAAGGGTTTCCTTTGTCTACAGAAATGAGTATAGAAATAGAGTTTGTATGGAATCATTAATAGAGCTACATTTTTTGTATGCGCGATTCTACCATACCAAAATCCCTAGGTTGGACTCGAGACGAGTCTACCGGAGAGGGGGGTAATTATAACGGGGCTACTATCAGGCCGTTATAATAATACCTGTTCTACCAGTCAGAGCCATACGACCCTAGGGTAACCGCAGTTTGTTCTTCATCGACGGGTGAAGACAAGGGCAGGTGAGCCCCTACCTCTATTGGTATGGAGAGTAGGGATCTTAGCGAGCTACGAGCTTCATGAGTCAACCCAGGCGATTGGGTAAAACTAGAACAGAAGGACAAGCACGCCAAACAGGAAGGGTAACCCCTAACATAAGTTACCCTACCTTGGTGTAACGGGGGTGCCTTGAAGGGGCGCGACCGTGACTTCGATCAGGTAGATAGGCAGAAAGGAATTCGACAAGCTATCCTTTCGGCTCGTTCGATGGAAAGATAGAGTTTCATTTGTTTGATCGTTATTTGTAGTCTAGAAACTTAATAACTTTAAGGGGGCTCCTCGCTGGTAAAGACTCGCTGATCCCCCCGAAACCAAGCTGGGGCAACCGAGTTCCTTTATGGAAGTTCGGCGCCCCTTCCTTCATTACCTCTTTCCTTTTTTCACTGGCCGTCCGCCTTTCAAATAATCTGGGGGCACCACCTATTTTCTATCAGGGGGGAGGAGAAGAGTTGCTACCACACCGCGGACGAATTTTCGTCCGAGTCAAATCTCGCAATCCTTGCCAAGAAAGGGTCGGGATCCTAGGAACTAGAGGAAACAGCCGACCAGACAGCAATTGCTTATTCAGAGTATTTAGAATAGATTTGGGTGTTTTTAAAGCAAAGGTTTTGCTTTGGTAGTTTGGGTCGCACTCTTACTCCCCCCCAAAGATGCACCGGGCTGAAACAGGAGGGTTCCGGCGGTTCGACGCTCCGGGGGTTATTTTTGGCGGTCTAAAACGTGTTTATTTTGCAGTGTTTCCTCAACTCCGCAATGCGTTCATTCAACCACCCCAAATGGACCGGAGCATCGCCAGGATCCTTTCTGACGTGGTAAAGCATATTTTCCGGGCATCGGCTGCAAAGTTATTGCGCCTCAAAGGTTGAATGCCAAGGTAGGGTAACTTATGTTTGGGGTTACCCTTCCTTATTTGGTCTGCTCGTCCTGCTGCTCTAGTTTTGGTCCAGTCGTCTAGCTTGACTTGTAAGACTTCTTGCTCGCCAGGATCTCTACCCTCTATACCAATAGAGGTAGGGGCTCATCTGCCCTTCTCTTCACCCATCGATGAAGAACCAGCTGCGGTTAACCTAGGGCCGTATGGCTTGACTGGTAGAACAGGTATTTTTGTAACAGCCCTACTGTGGCCCTGTTACACTACTCCTCCCTCCGGTAGACTCGTCCCGAGTCTAACCTAGGGTTTTTTGGTATGGTACGTTATGAGCATACAAGAAAATGTAGCTCTAATAATCATTCCATACAAACTCAATGTAACGGGGACAGCCTTTCCTCGTATCGCTAGAATCCGAGAGAAAGGATTTGGCCGTGCAAGATAGAAATCAGGAAATCGGATAGTTGGGCGGGAAGGATCCTGAGTACTTATACTCCAAAGGATTCCATTCCCTGCTCCTACTCCCTTACTAAGTTCTGGTGATCCCTTCTAGCGGAAGGGAAGCAATACCACCGCTACCCCGCTTCTCTCTAAGCGTTAGCGGGTGCTTCCGGTTCCGAAGGCAACCACCCTTAGTCAAAGCCTTTGTAACACCTGCAGTCTTGATTGTCGCACAACCGGGACCTGCATGAATGAGCTACCGCTCAGGCGTAAGCTTAATCATTGCTGTAGAGCTCTTCACTTATTGTAGACTTTCCCAGGCATAGTCCCTGCCACTACCGGCGGACTTATCATGCTCAGAGGATGTAGAGGATCGCCGAGCACTCAGAGCTTCACTCTGGCTGGCCTTCTAATCATTGGCGAGGCATAGACTCGTCAATCATTGCTCCCATGAATAGATCCTCTTCCTAGCGCTCAGAATGTAGTTACTCTGACAGCTGGTAGCTAACCACACTGCCGGTACTTGCATGTCACTGTGCAACTGGCTTCTATCAATAACTCTCAGCATGTAACCGGGCCCTGTGTGTACTCATACACCAGACAGTTGAAATGGCTCCGTTACACTCTATTTTTTGCATCCATTTCTATTGACAAAGGAAACCTCAAGTGAAACGTGTGACCTAACAAGGGGAGACTCGTTTTCTCCACGCTTATCCCAGAACACTCCGTCGTCTCGGTTTCCCGCACTTTCCTGTATTACCATGCGTCCCATGATTTTCGGGGATACTTCGCATGGAACTCTCGGAGTGGCTCGTCTGCCATTCCTTACAACAATTTGTACGGTTCCCAAGAGTCTTCTGAGAGATAACCCTCCCAGGTAATCCGATATTGCACGAACTTCTTCCCACGACCAGCCTGCTGTCATTGGCTATCGGCTATTTTCTTGAGAACGTAACTGCCTTCCCCTTGAACCTCATCCGGAGGTGGAAGCAGTATAGCTCGTTGAGGGTCCAGCAGAGATATATGGAAGATATCATGAATGTTCCACTGAGTGGGTAGATTCAGCCTGTAGGACGCGACGCCAAGTTTCCCGACAACCTCAAAGGGACCCATTTTCTTTTTGGTGGTCTAGCTTATTTGAGGGTCACTTGGTTAAGATGTTGCATCGGTCCAGCATCACCTCGTCCCTAACTTCAGTTCTGGAGCACTCATCTGTTTCTGATCATACCATTTTTTCTGCTGTGCTTGTGCCGCGCTGGACGCGTCGAAGTTGTCTAGTTTCCGTTTAAGTGAGGGCCAAGTGGAATCTGGTTGAAACCTATAGTTCGCGTAGAATGGCGATGCTTTGGTTGACTCTTGGGTGGCCGTGTTGTAGGCGTACTTGGCAAGCGGGAGTAACTCTGCCCAATCGTCCCGCTGACAGAAGCAATAGTTTTTTGAGATACTGTTCTAGCGTTTGGTCGACTCTCTCAGTTTGCCCGTCAGTTTGAGGACGATATGTTTCGAATCTAGAGTCCTGATCGGAGATAATCTCCTCAGGAAGTCCATGCAGTCGCCATATCTCCCGGAGGAAGATTTGAGCAAGTTCTTCGATGGTTGCTTTGGTGATGAAGTCCATTGAAATGGAACTCCAAGGAATAGAGAGGACCTCTAAAGGTTGCAACATCTCTTTCTTCTTGTGTGTTTGAGGCTTTAGCGCGTTGACATGTATCGCAACTCTGAACGTATTCTTCCACATCGTTGTCCATCTTTTGGCAAAGGACAGTGCCCGAAGGCGTTCTGCCGTTTTGAATTGTCCAAAGTGACCGGCAGTCTTCGAATCATGTAGGGCGCTCAGGATCTTGAGCTTCAGTTCCCGATGATTTGGAATGTACCACCTTTCCTTATAGAAGACGTGTCCGTCCTTTAAAGTCAGGTATCGGTTCACCAGATTCCCAGAGGTGTTCTCAATGGCTTTTTTCAAGAGAGGTACTCTGGATCTAAGGCTGCTTGAGCCCAGATTTCATCCAGGAGCACCGGTGTGAGTTTGCAGATTTGGGCTGATCTTGCACATGCTGAGTTGATCATAACGATCGGGTGTTGGACAGAACCCATTATAAGTTGTCCTGGCTTAAACAAGAATTTCAGGGTCTTGATGAGCCTTACCCCCCTCTTTAAGGGCGTGGTCCCAACGCCGCGACAGATGTCTGGTTTGGCGTTTTTAGTTTTCCAGGGCGGTATACAACTTTGAAATCAAACTCCGCGAGGTTGGCCGCCCATCGAGCTTATCTCGGTTTCAGCGCCCCCCCCTTTTTTTTTTTTTTGCTGGTTGGTGACGACCGTGACCGTATCTTTGTAGGAACGCAGAAGGTGACTCCGGGGGTGGTGTACCTCTATGGGATTCCGGGGACAACCCCTTGGCGACCCAGGCTGGAGGAAACCCAGAGGTGTAACGGAGGTAAAGCGAGCCCAACTCATGCCTAGGTTCGGAAAATATGGGAACTGAGGATCTTATCATCCACTAACTGACCCTTGGCTGTGAGGGTAAGGCCTTCCATTGGGCTGCCGCATCATCCCTAGAGATAGCTTCGCCAAAGGCTGCTCTGAGAGCATCCACAAAGGAATCCCAGCACTTCCATTTCTCATCTAACACCACAGACATCCCAGCTATCCGGTTGGCAGAAGCTTGGTCAATGGAGCTGTGGTAAGCCTCATACCAGTTGGCTGGGGCTTCTCCTTCCATCAGGTTACCAGCATATCGGATCCTAACCTCTTCGTAGGTAAAGAACTGGCTTTCAATGGAGAAGACATTCTCACATTGCCTGATGAAGTCTCCACATTGTTTGCTTTGCCATTGAACTTGGCCTGAGGGTGTGAGGGGGCCGGAGGTCTCATGAACTGTGTCATGGAGGCCAGGAGCTCTGTCTGCTGCTTCTCCAGCATCTTCCTGAGGTATCTCCGCCATCCTCTCCTATCTCCATACTCAGGCTCCGAATCTGAAATATCTGAGTCCCTCCCGGGTTGGGATCGCCACCAACCGGGGGGACTATTCCATTTTGTCCACCATTACC